TTCTTGTGTATTCACGATCTCGGGAGGAGCACGAGATCCATTTAAGTATTGTTTTACAAATTTTGCGGGAGCACTGGTTGTATGCCAAATATGAGAAATGTGAATGTTGGCTACAAGAGGTAAAGTTTTTGGGACATGTTGTTTCAGAAGGCGGAGTGTTAGTTGATCCATCAAAGATTGAAGCTGTTTTGAATTGGGAGCAACCCAAGAATGTGTTTGAGATCCATAGTTTTCTTAGTCTAGCGAGTTACTACCGGAGATTTGTGAAAGATTTCTCCCATTTAGCAACGTCTATGACCCGTTTAACCCGAAAAGGGATTAAGTTTGCATGGAATGAAGCCTGTGAGTCATCTTTCCAGGAATTGAAGACAAGATTGACTATGGCTCCAGTGTTGGTGATACCTGAGCGTGGCTTGGGTTATGTGATCTATTGTGATGCTTCACGTGATGGTTTAGGGTGTGTGTTGATGCAGGATGGTAGAGTAGTGGCTTATAGGTCTCGACAGTTAAAGACTCACGAGTACTACTACCCTACTCATGATTTGGAGTTGGCGGCAGTTGTGTTTGCTTTGAAGTGTTGGAGACACTACTTGTATGGTGAGAGATTCGAGGTGTACTCGGATTATAAAAGTCTCAAGTACCTTTTCTCCAAAAAGGACTTGAACAATAGACAGAGAAGATGGGTTGAATTCTTGGAAGATTATAATTTTGACTTGCAATATCATCCTGGCAAGGCAAATGTGGTAACAGATGCCTTAAGTCGAAAATCTCGTGGAACTTTGGCCCGTCTGGCTATTCGGAAGTGGAAGATACTTAAGGATTTGGCAGAGATGGGATTGTATTGTTTTGATGACGATGTTGACAGCGAGCCGGCATTCTTGTTTAGTCTTGTGGCTCAGCGTACTCTTGTTGTGCGAGTGACTGAGTCACAAAGACAGGACCCAGATTTAGATGCCATTCACGTTTGATCTCTAGTGGTGAGACAGTGAAAGATTGGGCCTTGTATGCAAATGGGGGTTTACGGTTCAGGGGTTTGTTGGTGGTTCCTACGGTTTGTCATGAGGACGTCTTACGGGAGTTTCACACTTCCCGCTTTGCAGTTCATCCAGGTGGTACCAAGATGTATCACAATTTGAAACGTCAGTATTGGTGGAATGGGATGAAGAAAGATATTGCACAGTTTGTGGCTAGATGCCTCACCTGTTAGCAGGTGAAGGCCGAGCATCAAAAACCAGCCGGTTTATTGCAACCATTGCCTGTAGCGCAGTGGAAATGGGAGCATATTGCAATGGATTTTGTGACAGGTCTTCCAAGGTCACGAAGGGGCAATGAGTCCGTATGGGTCATCATTGATAGATTGACCAAGACGGCTCACTTTTTGCCTATTAAGGCTACAGATGATGCAGAGAAGCTTGGTGTTCTTTATGTGAAAGAGATTGTAAGGTAACATGGAGTTCTAGTAACCATTGTGTCAGATGGGGATACTAAGTTCACTTCGAAGTTCTGGGAAGGACTTCAAGTAGCGTTTGGCTCAGCGTTGCATCTGAGTACGGCATTCCATCCACAGACTGACGGTCAGTCGGAGCGTACTTTCCAGATTTTAGAGGATATGCTCCAGGCATGTGTGCTTGACTTGGGTGGTAGTTGGGAGGATCACCTTTCACTTATTGAATTTGCCTACAACAACAGTTATCAGGCGAGCATTCAGATGGCTCCATTTGAGGCGTTGTATGGTAGACCTTGTAGGTCTCCTGTTTGTTGTACTGAGGTAGGCGAGACATCCGCCTTAGGACCTGACATTGTACTTGAGACTACTGAGAAGATTAAGTTAATAAGATAGAGGTTACTTACAGCTCAGAGCCGACAGAAGAATTATGCGGATAAGCGGAGACGGTCATTATCCTTTGAGGTGGGAGACCACATTTTTTTTCGGGTTTCTCCACGGAAGGGATTGATGAGATTCGGGAAAAGTGGCAAGTTGTCGCCACGATTCATTGGACCATTTGAGATTTTGGACCGTGTAGGAGAGGTTGCCTACAGACTTGCTTTGCCACCACAGTTGGATAGGGTCCACAATGTTTTTCATGTATCGATGTTACAGAAGTACGAACCAGATCCATCTCACATTTTGAGTTGGGTTAATGTAGACATTGATAAGGATGTTTCCTACGAGGAAGGACCAATTCAGATCCTTAACACACAACAGAAGGTGTTGAGGAATAAGACGATACCAATGGTGAAAATCCTTTGGAGACACCACGGAGTCGAGGAGGCTACTTGGGAGCTTGAACAGGAGGTTCGCTCCAAGTATCCAGAGTTGTTTTCTTCTCCAGATATGTTTTGATTTCGGAGACGAAATCTTTTTAAAGTTGGGGAGAATGTAAAGTTTTTGACTTTATCTATATATTTAATTAGTAAACAATGACTTTTTCCACTGTGGGGCCCACCTATGATATAAGGGTCATTACAGACCCATTTAGTTTCCAATTTGCTTTCTCTCTCAGACAGCTTAAGTCTCTCTCTCTCTCGCTGCTTCTGTCTTTTCCTTTTCTTTTTTTTCTTTTTCAACTCCAATCCTTGATTTCTCTCTCAATTCTTGGCGGATTAAGGTACCGTTTGAGGCAAAACGAAGCCCACTATGAGCTCTACGCATCCATACGAACAATTCCAGATTTGGTGCCCTCTTTGGAGTTCAAAATTCAAGACCCATTTTAAGGGTTTTGTGAAAATTTGAGGTAGAGACACCTTAATCCACTACCTTCTTGTTCCATTGTGAGTTATACTCCTTTGTTGTGCCAAGCATGCTTAATTAGAAGTTAATTGTATCAATGATTATTTTAAATGTTGTCTAGAGAAATTCATGTGTATGAATGTGAGTTGTTTTATGTGTAAAGCATGCTTAAATGTATTTTGTTGTATCTTAATGTGTTAATAATTACTTAGGAGATGTTGAATATGTTGAATGTCTAATTTTATGGTGTAGAATTTTAAATGCCATGACATTGAATGTATGGAACATATATACATCCATGCACATGTCATTGGGAAGCATGAAATGGGAGAATTTGTCTTGAAATGAAAATGAGGGAAATTTTGGGAGAAGAGTTTGTCAAATGATTTTGATAAACCCGGTCGCTGCAGGGTTGCCAATGGGCCGGAGGTTAATATAGCCTAGAGGGGACTAGGGAGTCGCCCTAGCGTGGTTGAGCTATTCGGGCTCCTCGATGACGCTGCGGGTTTACCAAAGATCTAGGGACGATAGCCAATCCTCCTCTCGTGTCGCGGTGGGGTTACCAAAGGGCGGGCTGTATTAACATTTGAAAGTGATGGTTTTGTGAATGAAAATGGGGAGTGACATTAGCATGCATTGCATTTCATTGCACTGCATGGTTTATAATTGGAATTGACATGCATATTGTTTTAATTCCTTATATTGCATGATCCCTAATTCCCATTGGCCTATGCTTTGTTTGGATTCACAAGGACACAAGAATTGTGTCTTAAGTGTCACCTACTGAGCTTTATGCTCACCCTACTATTTATATTATTTTTTTTCAGGTCTTGAAAATAAACCGGTGGACGACAATCCACCTCAAGCTTGAAAGTTGTTAGAAGGTTGTTTGCTATTTTATATTTTGACCGTTTTATGTATATTCATAGTTGTGGGGACGTAACTAAGTTAGTATTCATAGCCTTGTAACTTAAGAATGAACTTATCTTTTGTTTGATGTAAATGAAACTAATGAAATTATGGTATATGTTTTCATGCAATTGTATCATTTAACGTTATAAGACAGGGACTTTAAATCTTAACCATGTATTTTGGGACTGTAATTATGTTAATTTAGATTAATTGGTGTGTGAATGTTCCATCATGAGAGGAACTATGTTGAGGTATAATGAACGGATGAATGGGATGCTAGATGATTTTATGTGTTTTGTGTATTGGGACAGATTGTTGAAAGCCCATTTTTAGGGAAGATTCTGCCGAATTTTTTTTAAATTTTGGCATCAGCTATGGGTCGTTACATGTTATAGTGTAATAGTACTTTTCTTATTTTTGGTCTCTTTGTACCAAACTTTGTATTATGAAAAAGTTGTAAATATTTATTTATTGCAACAAACATCCTCAAATTATCTAAAGTTGCAAATTATCTCCATTGATATACCGAAGTTAAAAAATTTCAATGTTAAAATAGTTGCATGCAACGCACGTGACACATAACTGATTAGTTCAATTTAGATGTAAAATCAAAATCAATTCGAGGCCAATGGTTTCATAAAAATTAAAATTATTCTGAATAGATGAGAGCCTTTAATTGAATCGAATCAATCTATGGAATAGATTTTCTTATTAGATTGAATTGATATACATATTAGGTTTTATAGAATAATTTTTTTTTTTTTTTAACCCAACGTAGAAGATTGAGATGAAATAGTTTAGGTATTGTGACAACAAAAATTTATTACATGATCAAGAATGTGTGAATTATACTAATGATTTATCTTAACATCTACAAATGATTTTAGTGGCCTATCAAATTTTGAGAAACAAAAACAAGTTATAAACAACTATTAAATTGTGTGAGGCACGTGAAATGTGAAGTGTAAAGTGGGTGGGGTTAGGTTTAGAGTTACAAAAAAAGTAATATATATATATATATATATATATATATATATATATATTATATTGTATATATAAGTAACGAAGCAGACCAATTCGGATTCAGTGATCGAATTAGTTTTTTGAAACTTAAATCTGTAAACCGAATTGATTCGAGGAATTAGATAAAATCGAATTCTCAGATGACGTGAAACCCCTAATTCTTTCAAAAATCAAATGTAAAAATATACTATAAGAAATTTATTATTTTTCTTTGGTTCACTTTAGACTTTTCAAAACTCAATTTACAACATTATTTCTTCCCGACCAAACAGTCAAACAGAGCTTAATGCTACCATCTTTCTCCTAGTTAAATCAATTCGGTATAACCACAAAATATGATATTTTTTTGGGGGCATATTTGGGGAACTTTCCTGTCACGTGCTAACGCGAAACCAAAAGAATTCTGATCCAGAAAGTGTTTGAATCATTCTCTCTCAAGGTGGCTTCGAGGGTATCTACAGTTCATGGGTTTCTCTCACTCTGTGTGTGAGTGAAGAAACAATTGCCTCTCGAATTTCAACAATGGAGCTCTCTCCAGCTCTGATACTTGCCTAAAACTTCTTTTAGAGGTACAGTAGACTTTTTCTGTGTGTATTATATATATATTTGTGTGTGTGTGTGCGCATATGTATATGTATATGTATCTGTATCTGTACTTTCATGGGTTCTGTAATTGTTGCATAAAAATCGAGAATGAATTTTGGTGGGTTTTCTTATTTGAAGTTTTGGGTCTGTTTGGATTGATGGAATCGTGAGGTTTGGTGTTGGGGTCACTGCAATTATTGTTTACGTATTAGTACTTTTGCTGCAGTTATTGGCACATGCAATTTAAGGAACAAATTTGGTACCATTAATGCTAATTCTAGGGTTTTGGGTGTTCAACATTGGTACTTTCTGATCAAGAATTCGATTCTTGTTCTCCCCTTGGGTTAACATTGTTCGATTGAGGTTTTGAACTCGCATATTTATCTGTGCATTTTTTTCAGTGAAATTCATCTTGTTGATCAGAAATTGAGTTTTCATGTTTTTCTCGGTTATGGATTTGGGAATTTGGACCTGCAAGCGGAGCAATAATTAGAACTCTACTACACACACACACACACACACACACACACACACACAAAACACACCAGTGAGTTAAGATATGAAATTTATTCCAGTGGACCCTAATCTAGAGAAAGTAGTTTCAAAGTAAAGCAAGATTCAGACCAACTAATTAGATATTCCGCTTCAAATCGTGGCCAAAAAGGGCTCTGGTTTAACTGATTATCTTGCAGCTCTAGGGTTTATGCCTAAGCCATTTGATTTGATTCTGAGATATAATTGAATTGTCATTCTGAATTGATCCTTTGATTGGAAATTCTTATAAACCCTTTTGTTTTTCAGGTTTCACTTCCGAAATTTATTTTGCAGAGCTGTGAGTTTGAGTAAGTCATTCTCTGATTACATGAATGAAACTGCAGTTATTAAGTGGAATTTGGCTGTATTTAATTTGTACTCTGGATATCTGTCCACTGCAAAAAATTTTAGCTAAACTTAAAAGGGAAAAAATATCAGCCAATGGAAGAATCACGAATTACACCTCTTCCTTCTGATATTCGTCGATCAGCCTCTTCACATAGCTCTGCAAGGTTCAATGTAGATGGGTATGGGACTAATTTCTTTCGTGGACCTGGTTTCCCTGGCCTGAAGAAGAAAGCTCATGGTCATGGAAATCGTTCTTGGATAAAGATTGATCAGAGTGGGAACTCAAAGATCTTGGAGCTCGATAAGGCTACAGTAATGAGGCACTGTTCTTTGCCTCCCAGAGATCTCCGTCTTCTGGATCCTTTGTTCATTTACCCTTCCACTATATTAGGCCGAGAGATGGCTATTGTGGTTAGTCTTGAACAGATTAGATGTATAATCACAGCTGACGAGGTTATCCTGATGAACTCTTTGGATGGATGCGTGATCCAGTACAAGTTGGAATTGTGCAAACGCCTTCAGAAAAATAAAGATCAATCTGGTAAAAAGCTTTTTCTGTATACAATCTACTCTTAAATTCTTATGCTTTTACTCATGCTTCATTTTTCTGCTGTGAAAATACAGGGAAAAAAACTTGGAATTTTCATTTTTGTTTACATCTTAAGTCTTAACTATAGATGAAGCACTGTAAACTCTCAATTTGGTTTGCCATAGGGTTTTTAAAATTTCCAGGGAATCACCTGTTTTCTGAACTCTTTTAATTATTTATCATGATTAATGTTTTTGAGAGAGTTCAAGAACAAACCATACCTTCAGGAAGTGGCTACAGTCTTATAAACAGTTTTGCAAGTTAAATTCCAGAAAATTTAAATTAGGAGATTGGCTCTTGAGTTGAAAATAATGCAAAATTTTTCCTTCCATCAAGTGAAATGTCCCCTTTATAGTTCGAAGAAAGAAGTAGAATCTAAGTCTAGAAATTCTATTGATATGACAATATTGACTGAAATTGAGAGTATATCAATATAGGAAGTATAATGCAAACCTAAAATTTTCGTGAGATTACAATTTAGATTGAAATTGAGTCTATATGTTTTTAATATCAAAACTGAGTATATATCACCATCAGGATTAGTCATCCATGGCCTTCAGGCTTCAGTAGTCTGTAAACATTCCTTCACTATAATTAATAAATATAAGTTAAGTTGAAAACATGTGGACTCAAATAGATTTAATTGAGCTTTCATATCTTGCAGTATACTTTTTTGGTAAGTATATTTTGCAGTATACTTAGTTAAACAGAAGTTTATTAAAGTATCATTATATGTGTATATATATATATATATTTATTTATTTAAAGTAAAAGAACCAAAAGTAAACCAAAGCGGAATGCTGCAAACACTTACCAATTCTGCCATGCCTATGTTTCTGTCATATAAATTTGTTTGAGAAGATTTTCTAGCAAAAATGGTTTCTGATTTCCGCTAGAATAATATCCAGTAACCTGACATCTTTTGTACAAATGAAATGTGACGCAAAATCATCATGTTAACTGGCCTGAATTTGGTAACTTAGGATTTTTAAAGTATGATACATAAATAAAATTAATGTTATGATATTTAATATGTTATTTTTCCTTGTCATGCTCATTAAACGATTCTTAGAGGTTTTACTTGATTTTCAAAAGTTTTAATGCACAAACTGCTCACTGTTCGTGCTGATTTGATTCAGATGATCTGCCTTTCGAATTCAGGGCTCTGGAGCTGGCTTTGGAACTCACATGCACGTCTCTAGATGCTCAGGTATGCAGTCCTCTGCGTTGGTGTCTAATTCTAGTGACCATTTTTGCTGTATTACACTCCCTCCGTCCCACAAAAAGTGTCCACCTTTCCTTTTTGGCTGTCCTTAAATAATTCTACCAATTCAAAATTCAATGTACTATTTTTTTAATATTCCTAATTTACCCTTCTTGCCTTGAAGTTATAAACGCATGTGGTCCGATCATAGAAGGGTCTATTTACAAATCATTCTCTGCCACTATAATAAAAAATATATATATGTATATTAAAAACTACACTCTTAAAAAGTTAAGTTCCCAAAAAGGGACACTTTTTATGGGATGGAGGTAGTATTTGTAAGCTATCAATAATCTTTCAAAAAATATATTTAGGAGAAAACCTAGTGGTAAATCTGCATCCTAATACGATGAGACCCTCGCAGAACCATGCAAGTAATCTGTTGAGGGATAAAAGAACATGCTTGTCTGGAGTGAAGAATTCATTTAATTGTAATATGTCAAATAGATATCTAATTTCACAGAGTTTTAGGCAATTGAAGAGGTCTAATGGCTGTACATTGGTTGCTTTAGAGTCATTGCCGTTAGAATGTAGTCCCACTCCTCTGGGATGAAACCTGATTACAGGTACTTCAACATAAGATTGCAATGACTAACTTTATTTATCATCAATTCAAAGATGGTATGAAATTAAAGTAATCATGTCCCAAGAGTTGGCCAATCCATGGCCATACCATAACAATTGTTCATCATGGAGATTCTAGTTCGTTATTGGCTGAAATCTTTATTTGCATTCCTCATTATTTACAGAAATTATGAAATAAAATTATATTTAATGCTACTATACCGGTTTTAGCACACTCTTGTTAACCATCAATGACCAGAGAATCATAATTCATGTTATTAGTTATCGATGGGATTGTCTCATGAAATTTGAACACTTTTGCAAAAATACCTAACATTAAGAAGTTTTTTAATTTAATAGGCAAAAGAATTGCAAATGGAGATATACCCAGTGCTTGATGAACTGGCATCATCTATCAGTACTCAAAATCTAGAACGTGTCCGTAGACTCAAAGGTCACCTCCTTGCACTGACTCAGCGAGTGCAGAAGGTAAAAACAGTCAGACCAAGTCATTTAGCCTACTTGTGTTGGGGCTCCAACTTATTTTTTCTACATATCACCTTCTAAATTTATTCTCCAGGTCTGTGATGAAATAGAACATCTTATGGATGATGATGGTGACATGGCTGAGATGTACCTAACAGAGAAGAAACAAAGAAGGGAGGCTAACCCAATCAATGACCTATATTATCAACTTAATTCTGGCAATGCCAGAGTAGTGTCAAAATCTGCACCTGTTTCACCTGTGGGGTCAGTCGGTGGAGCCCGGAAATTGCAAAGGGCTTTCAGTAGTATAAGTTCCGGCAGACATGGAAGCTTAATTAGTTCATCTAGTAGTGGGGAAAATATTGATCAACTTGAAATGTTGCTCGAAGCGTATTTTGTTGTCATCGACAATACTCTCAACAAGCTGTTATCGGTAAGAGATGTTTTACATTTTAGAGAACATGTATTTGTACCTAATTCCATGTGGGCTTGTTTGCAGTTCGTCCTTTTGATTATTTGAAAATTGATAATTTACTTTTTTAACTTTATGATTGGTTAAGACACTTAAAAGGCCAATAACTTTTCTTAACCAACTGGCCAACCAATTGGGCCGAATTCCATTAACATTGTTTTCATTTTGACATATAGGAATCCATATTTTAATCAAGTCTAATGAAGAGCCAAGACTAGATGTTATTGCATGGCGTTAAATAGGTTAAAAGAAAGTACAATCATGCCTTCACGGACAAAGAGGCATTCTATGTCTCACATTGACGTTAAAGATTTTGGGTCTGTACCATAGTTGTAATAATGTTATTTCACGGTGATGCAGCTCAAAGAATATATTGATGATACTGAGGACTTGATCAACATTAAACTGGTGAGCAGATGCTTTAATTTTTTCATTGGCTTTTGCTACATCATACACATGTATTTGAATGAGAGATGCCATTTATATTACCATTTATTTAAACAGGGCAATATTCAGAACCAGCTGATACAGTTTGAGCTTCTTTTGACGGCAGCTACCTTTGTGGCCACAATATTTGCTGTCGTAGCTGGGGTCTTTGGAATGAACTTTGCAGACTCAGTTTTTAAGCACCCTTCCGCATTCCACTGGATCCTAATTATAACTGGAGTATTCTGTGGAATGTTGTACTTCTCTTTCTTGATTTATTTTAGGCACAAGAAAATTTTTCCCTTGTAAATTGGACAGTATTAAATTTATTCAATTGAAAATGATTCCTAAGACTGTTACATTTAGTCTGTATTTTTCTTGAGCTTTCTGTGATGAAATCCTAAGCCCCTCGAGTATTATACTTCTTTTTTTTAGCCGATGTCTTGATTTGAATGGCAGAACCAGTTGTGATGTGCATCCAGTTATTCTCAGCTCTTCTATTATTTCTTTTTTCTTTGTTTGATTGCAGCAACATGTTGTGTGATCTGCTGTAACTGCACTAATTAATTCTCAGCTGATCAGGTACGAGTACTTGTCATGCTTCTCGGTCTCTCTGTTGAAAACTTTTGGTGTAGTACTCCGTAGCATTGGTTGTATATCTAGTCCTGTCTGCCTCTTGACGGTTAGTGTTTTCCTGGATTTAGGTTTTGATTGGATAAGTTGCACAGAGAAATCTGATGGCTTGGAAGGCCATTGAAAGTCCAAACGACGGCTTACCAATAACCCGGAATTCCAAAACACAACTTAAAGAGACATGAAGTTCTTCAGGGAGTTCAGGTTGTGTAATGGCGCCGCCACCACGAGAAATGGTGCTGCCAAAGAGTGCTGGGAATGTTCATGCACCTTGTGGGAATGTTCTTTGACGCAGTGGAAACAAACGCTTTCTGTCATCGCTGAGGGTAGTGCCGTCTAGACATTGACGGAAACAATGTACAAATAGTGTAGTAGTATTGAGAAGAAGCAATCTTCGAAAGCCAGACAAATGGCTAATGTTCGGTCTCCCAAACACAGCGACTATAGGGAATTTTCCTTGGCAATGGCCATTCCGACATCCTCGTCAACGAGAAGATATTGGTGAGCGGGTATACCAGCTCATTGGTGTACTCACTCAAACCAATATGCTCGTCCCATCTACATAAAATTACTGTTTTTAACACATTAAAATGGTGGATGTTGATTAGGTGGGCATATCAATGTGTCTTTTTAAATATGCTCCTTCGAGAAAATGTGATATTACTACATCTTGTGAGTCACAGTTTTTAAAGACGACATTTAAAATGGGACAGAGGGAGTAATTTTTTTTTTCTTGGCAAACTGACGGCTAGGAGACTCGAATACGGGTGTGACACTCTACCAATTAAAATAAAGTCACGTAACAATTGAAAATATGTTAAAGTGTTAGAATACCAAATATAATAAATAAGTAAAATATATTAAAGTGCTAGAATACCAAATATAATAAATAAGTAAAATACCAAATATAATAAATAAGTAAAAGGTGGAATTCCAAAAGGTGTGAATGGAATTATTAACTTAAAATATTATATGTTTAAAAAAATTATAAAAAATCTATCTAAAAATAAAAAATGAGAGTTTGTTTGGTTTAGAATTACGGAGAAGGAATATAATACCCACTTAACCCTTTTTCCGCGTCTACCTGACATATGAGAGTTGGTTTCTACTCTTTAGAGGGTTTTACACAGGTTGTAGAGGAGTGGGGGGTATTTTAGAATATTAGAGAATTTTATATGAATTTAAATATCAACAATGTTTTGATGGAATCTTAACCATGAGTTAAGGAGATGGATATTTTATAAATAGTTGGGGTTTTCACTGATTACACCAATCACAAGTTCTAAATAACACGACTATTGAGACTATAGAGTGCAACACTAGTATTATTCATAATCAACACGAGTAAATTTCAACTTGTTTTCTCAGAAAAATGTTTTTTAATTTTTAGGTATTTTATAACAGAGATACAAAAAGTTTTTTCAATATATCTTTTACGGATTAAGTTAAAAAAACTGGGTAATAATGAATTTTGACAAGATAGTACTTTTGCGGTGAATAAATATTTAGATTGAATCAATCCATAAGGCTCGTAAGAGGGTGAAAAAGATCATTTGTATGTCATTGTAAATTTTTAGAGCTAAAAGTGTTATTCAAAAATAATTTTATGAATAAAAATATTTTACATCGAAATGAACGGAATTAATAAGGATGCTGAGAAAATGAGTTATCCAGTATTGATATTTTGGAAAAGGGTGGAATTGTTTGTAAGTACTTCTAGATTTCATGATCAAGTTTCTGTTTCTTCAGAATATTCCATATATATAAGGCCTCAGGTTTTTTTTTTTTTTTTTTTTTTTTTTTTTTTAATATTAATAGCTCAATGGTTTTTTAAAGAAAATAATATATATATATATATATTGGGTTTTTTTCCACAATTTGTCCTAATTTTTTTTTTTTTTTTTTAAACTGATGCAGCCTAGCAATTTTCGGAGTACGAGAAAGAACAGAAGTGAACACAACATCGAACAGAAACAAAAAAAAAAAAAATAAACAAACAAACAATATTGCACTTTTAAGACCCTAGATGACAAGAGTATTATTGATCTAAAACCTAGTTACACAGATGAATATGTCACCCTTTCTAATTGAAGGAATCACCACCAAAACCTCAATTGAAAAGATTCCGATTGAGAAAAACCGGAAGGAGGATGAGGTAAAGATGGTAAGTAGGGCTGCAAAAGAAGTAAGCTAAGCAGAACTTCAATCTGTTTGAGTTCGGCTCATTCGTTGCGAGGGCAGACCAAGAAATTTAGGTAAGTGGGTCAAGATTGAAATTTTATAATAATTTCAAGGGGGGCATTAACAATATTTTATGGGTATATATTGAAAAAAGGAAAAAATAGCATGGTATATTAGTAAAAAAAAAAATATTCAGGGGCAGGTGCCCCCCTCACTTGCACATGGGTCCGTCCCTGATTCGTTGGTTGGTTCAACTCGGGTCCGACTTGGGATCGTGACAAGCTCAAAAAGCATAACTCAAACTCGACTTATTACTATGTTAAAAAGTTCAAGCTCGGTTTAAGCTCGTATTCAAGATCGCCTTGACTTGTTCAGGAACTTATACAATCCTATATTCTAAGCCTATACTCATGAATCATCCATGGAGTTGTACAAGTCCATACAGCCTAAATTTATGAAAAGTGTTTATGAGCCTATGTTTCATACACAGAGCCTATATGAGCTTATTATTCACGAGCCCAGCCTAATAACAATGTTTGGGATCGACTCATTTGCTAAACGAACTTAAAACCAAACTTGAATTCTGCTCGTTCACTTAATGAATGAGAATTTACTGAACTTCAAACGAGCCAATCCCAACCTGTTCATGAAAAGCCGTAACACAGGAGCAGCAGCATCAAGCCTGTGTGAGGTATTGGCACACAAAACAGTTAATTTTCTACTTGCCAACGATCAATTGAAGCAAGAAAACTTTCAATTCCTGAAAGAACTCTGTACAAGATTTTCTTTACATGTCATTTACTGGTTTTCTCATTTCCTCATTATGATATTTGTTCGTCATTGACGAAAACACATCTGACCATTTAAAACAATAGAAGAACCATGCCTGGTTTTCTCCACAACTTGTTTTATCAAAAGCTTCCCCATAGAATCATCGTCGTCATCAACTTCATATGATCCTCGACTTCTTGATGTCCCCTCTTCCCAAGTCCTGATCATATCACTAACCAAGCTTCGCGACCATCTTTCTTCAGTGACACTTTCATGACGTGAAGTAGATGCATTATCACCATTATTTCGACCTTCAAACAGCTTTGTCTGAAATGGATGCATTTCTTTCTCAATATTGTTGGCATTAGATATCGCGTCAGGAGTGTCGTTATTTGTGTCTGTCATTCTGATCATCCCATCATAAGCCTCATTGTATGCATCTAAATCTTCCCCAGATAAATTACTACCCATAGGCCAGTTTATGTCATTGCCTTCTTCATCAGTAATGGTTGGACTTTCTGGGGTAGATGAAGATCTTACTTCGCTACAGACCAAGTCCCCCTGAGAAATCATGCGTTGTGATTCCAGGGAATGCACCTTCTTTTGGCTGTTTTCAAGTGCAGTCTCAAGCTCCTTGATACGTGCTTCAAGCCTTGATTCAATTACCTCATGAAGGCGCAAGCTCAGCTTCAGCGGCGAAACTGCATAGTTAGACATATCTGTCTGACCGGTAGAGGTGCCACTTGCATCACTGTGTGTGTCAGATGGATCACCAGGTTGCCCGTTGGTCATATCTAATTTCAAGTCTCCCTTAACCACATCAGCTTCAAAGTCTGGATCGAGCTGCAACAAAATATCAAAACTAGAAATCTGTGAAGAACAATAAAACTTCCTACCAAGAATGACATTGTACAAATTCAAAAGCAATAGTAATTTAAAATTATTCAAAAGAACAGTAGGAATCAATTTTAATGGCTCCTTAATGTTGGGTGTATTGAGAGATCTGGATGGTGATGTCAAGGATTCTCATACTTCATCACCGTCAAATCACATGATAGACGAACCATGCCAGCAGGCCTTAGTTAAGCAGCAAATCTTTTAAAGAATTGATTGAAATCTGATTATTTAGATAATCTTCCAAGAGAAAGGAAATTTTGTCTGGCAGGGATGGGTCAAAAGTTTTTAAACTGTTTAATATAAATTCCAAAGAAAACTTTAAATTCATTAAATTTAAACCCCTGGGAAGTGAAGAAAATGAAATCCTGTACCAAATATCAGAAAGCCCTGAGACACATTATAGTTTCATGATATTTCATATATGACAACATGCCTTTGGCTTAGTAAATCCAAAAGTTCCTCAAAATTTTATCATATGTTTCATTTAAGATATTATGTTATCTTGAGTTGAGTCCTTAAACCACTTCCAAGTCTTTCACAGTTTCACATGTTTTATCATGTCTCGGTAGCCGGTACAGCTCTGGCCTGATAAAATCCAGAACTCGAACGTGATTAATTTTCTCTATCACATTAATGATCCCAAATTGCACTAAATATGCATATCCCAAATCATATTTATATCATGATCACCATGGCAATGGCTATATCTAGCAGACTTTGACATTACCGATTGACCAAAAGGAGGCGCAATTGCACAAAACCCTCCTACACTATTTTACTTGAGCAAAAAAACCTCCCTAAACTATTTTTTGTGCCAATTAATCCGTTCATCTCATAAAAAAGTTGCAAAATTACATCCTTCCAACTTACGGCCATCCAATGTGAGAAAAAGATTTTTGTATCCAAAAAAAAAAAGGAAGGAAAAATATTATCGTTAGGGTGGCACTTATATTATGGTTGTCCAAATAAAATCCCATGAAAATAGCCATGGGATGGCCATGTTTAAAAAAAAAAAAAAAAAAAAAAAAAAAAAAAAAAAAAAGGAAGAAGAAGAGAATTCATGCATTTTAGTTTATAATAGTTATATGTATGCTTACCTCGACAAAATCAGATATTCTCTCCAAAGTAGATGCTTTCATGTTCAGCTCCAACCTCTCCAATTCAGCTTCAAGCTCGGCCTCAATTTCACTCATTAACTCGGGGTTCTCTGACTGCTGATCTTTTTGCTCTTTGCTATTATATTTCGTGGATTCATCCACTTCCCGTTTAGAGGAAGGTGCAACCAGATCCTGGTTAAAGGAGAAGCTACCAATTGTCTTATGAGATTGACTATCCTCTGTTGTGAGCTCCTTCACAGTTAGCATACCTTTCATCTCAAGCTCCTCATGAAGATCTTGAACTAAACCCTTGCTCTTCTTCAACAGCTCATTTAACTTGTCCATTTCTCTTTTATTTGCTACAACAGCAGATAGTATGCCGATGGTGATTCCGATAAAGAAAATAAGCAGTCCATTGGATGATCCTGAGGACAATACAAACATGTAATTTTAATGCATACATAGTATTTAGAGGGGAAAAAGAATCAATTAACGAAAAATGCGAGTAATCAGATATTGATCCAGGAAAAGTCAGATCACCAAGTCTATATGTGCTCACTGCAGATTATGGTACTTTTAATGCAAAAGAAAACTTCTACTTAGCCTTTTCATGAAGTTAAAGCACTGACATGTACGCAAGCCAGGTATCAATTTTGCCATGGACAAGTTAATTCTGTTTATATGTTGACATGCAGGACACATTGCACCTGTGTTGAGTTCTGAGTTCTGACACTTGCCTTGTATCAGATCCCAATCCAGTGGTCATGCTGATTACAGCTTCATAGATCACACCAACACTCAACAATGATGTCCAGTTTTCAAAATATTTTTAGAACTGCTTGCAACGATATAAGATCATACCCATATTAATCATTTCTATATTGCAAGAGAACCTAGTTTTAAGTTCTACATGTGACGTAGAAACACATAAATCCAGACCTGATTGTGCATTGACACCTTTCCAATGGTTAAATGTATGTGTGTCTTCTAGTCAAAGAAGTATATTATACATGGTATTGGTATCGAGGAAATATATATGCATTATTGTTTTGCTGTATGAAGTAAAAAATAAAAATAAATAAATAAATATATAGAAACAAATTATCTTAATTATTGAAGTCTTATCCGAACTAATTGAGGCCAGTTAACAAATCCTTTTCCTGCCGAACCTATAACTTGAGACTCTCTGTTTTTGTTAAATAATAAGATATCATGTTTTTTGTCATTACCTAAATCTATATCTCTTTGACCTTTTCTTTTTCCTTGAAGCATCTCCAAACTAAAAATAAATTTCTCCTTCCTATTGAAGTAATCTCCCCACACAAGACTAAAGTCGTGGACCAGCTTAGCAAGCTCTCTCTTATCTTGTCCACAAAAATTTTTCGGATTTAATTATCTTGTCCAAAATCAATGCCATAAATGCATACATTCCTAGTTCTATTCCTCCAATCACTCATCCATTGCAAGACCCACTCATCTTGAGGATACTAACCATATTTTCACAATATAAAAGCACCTAATGTTGCTGCCAACAACTTTTTTAAAAAATTCCAATAACACAAGACTTTAAACACAGGTCTCCATTGAGTTCATCCATTCCACTATAGTTATATCAGCAACATCTCCTTCAATTCAAGTCATCAATCTTCCACTCCTATATTGCTAGATGAATTCAATTCAAATAAAATAATATAAGAAAAAAAATCTAACATGTCTGTCCTCCAACGAAACAATCAATCCACATAAGCAAAAATTTTTAGAACGAAAGAAAACAAAAAGTAATATAAAAAGTGTGCCAAATCAAGTTCATAAAAAATGAAAAGAGAGTAGAACCTTGTGAATGTAATGGCACTCCGGATCTGCTCAAACGCCTCCTACCACACCTTTGTTTCAGTTTCCTCGGAACCTCCACCAATCCAGTTTGCTGAAATGATGAACTTCTCAACATTGTATTATTTTCTTCCAAGCACACTCCGCCTTCGCTCTTCAGCTTATCTTCCCCACTCTCAGAATGTACACCAAATGAATCTCCACTTGCTCTGCTGATTATTCGACTCCCATCAGTTACCAACAATGGCCTCACTGTCGGTGTGGATGGTGATGGAAGTGACCTAAACACATATTCTTCCATTTTGGCACGCTCTCTATAAAGGTGAGCTGTAAGGGAATTTTCTAAAGAATTTAAAGGTTTAACCAAAAACCCACAAGACCCTCTACTCCTAAGGGACTTGCTCCTCATGAATCTTCCATTTGCAAATTCGAACAATGCATCACCAAAATTGCCAAGAAACTCATTCCTCGCGCTAATTTCATCCACATTCTCTTGAAAACGTTCCCTTTCTCTGAATTCCGTTGGCAAACTCATTGATTGAAGTACATTATGGTCCGAAAACTTCCCCACATTGGCCAAACCTTTATTTCCGCCACTGGTAGAAGCTACTCTAGCCATTGAATCACCACTGACCCAATTCATTTCTTGAAATTTCCAATCCGAAACATCTCGTCTCTCTGAAGAAACATCTCCATCCAATCGTCTTGGTGCCAATCTATGGTAGGGACCAGTTCGATCTATTTGCTGCAACAAATTCTGGAATTCTGATTGCCTGCGACTTGAATTCCAAGAAAATGACTCCAATGACCCATCTCTTCCCCCAGACAAGTTCTGCCAATACTTAGCTATATATGCTGCACCAGTAGCTGCTGCAACAACCCATAATTCCACCATGCTCTCTCTCTCCACAAACACAGACACTATCCTAATTCTTCATATTTTCCAAAGCAACCTCTTTTCTTCAAATATAATTTTAAGAACTTCAAACATAAGAAATCTTGATTTCAGAAACAACCAACACTACTTCAACTCAAAACCCAGAAGCAGAAATCCTCCAAACCTCCTTGTTAAATAAGATACTAATAAAACAACAACATCAACAAAAAATTCAAAGAGTGTGTGTGTTTAAAGCAATTATTCGGTTAGAAACATTGCGTATATATAAGTAGTTGAAATGTGAAACGACACGAAGTTGGTTTATGTTACAGGTATTCAATGCACTGCAAGTGAATGAAGAAAAGACTCTGTGAAATATAGTACTATTGAACAAAGAAAATGAAAATTCAAACACAACCCAATTGAGAGAAACTCATGTACTGAAAAACCCATTAATTTAGAGAGCTCAATCTGCAAGAAACTGTTCATAGTTGAAAATGAAAAGCTAAAATGTGAAGAAAAGTCCACATTAGAGGTTGTTTTGAAAAAGGCCTATGTTAGTTACGATGTTTGAGTACAGAGATTCCAGGCCACATGATTGTGGATTGGACCACTGGAATCTAAGAGGAGCAATGTGCATTGCTCCCTGAGTATCATTTATCTGCTTCTGGGGACAAAATCGAGGCTCAAAATTCAACAGATAAACTGAGATTGTTTTCAAGCGCTTTTTTAAAAAAAATAAAAAAATAAAAAAAAGTCATAAAATGTAATGGTTGGCTCTAATTTTATTTGATAGGAAGAAAAAATGAGTGGATTTTGTTATGATATATGAAAGGAATATTAGAGATGTTGACATCTTGTTTGTGTGTGTGTCTGCGAGAGTGTTTATTTTGTGATGATATATAAGAGGAATATAAGAGATGTTTATTTGTGTGTCACACAAACACCTAGCCTCAATTGTCATTGTCGCAAAATACTTTCATTTTTAATAATTTGATTGTCATAATGGAGACACCCTCCTATCCAATGGCATTTTCATAATCTTCTAAGTTGAAAAATTAGTTATCCTTATTTGAATTATTTTGTGTTGACATGTGTAGATGTATTGTTCTTTTATATTTATTAAAATAATAATATTTTTTAGGTAAATTACACTAACCTCCCCCGAAGTTTGGACAAATCTCACATAAGTGGAGTGTTTCAAATTATTGCTTTGACCTCCCATGAGGTTTGGGTGTATGCTCAACAACCCCCTCTCCATTTAAACTTGTAAAAAAAGGTAATGGTGTTATTTTAATTGAAAGTTACAAGAGAGATGAGGTAGAAAATTAATTTTTGTAAATTTTATAATATTTTGTATTATCAAATGATATTACATATAAGGGTATAATTGACTTTTTATAGTCTTAAGGGAGGTCAGAGTAATAAACCTCAAACGCTCCACCTGTGTAAGATTTGTTCAAACCTTAGGAGACGTAAGTGTAATTTACTCATATTTTTAAGTATTAGAATAACTAATGTAATCCTAAGTTCATAAATCAAACTTCTAAATGAAGCTCCTAAGGTAATTTCATTTCATAAATCAAGTTACACACTTAATCTTTTTTATATTCAAGTTACGATTGGATTGGTTGTATTAGTTAATAATAATATAAATTGGGTGTGAGTTGGATTTGATTTAAGAAATGTCTTTGCTCAAACCTAATTCAAATTGAGATTAGTTTTTAAAATTTTAAACCTATTCAAGGGGATTGGGGTAAAAAAAAAAATCATTAACTTAGCAAATTTTATATTTTCACTTGTAAAATATTTTCAACCAAAAAAACATAACCACCTTCTGTTTTACATGCTACAAACTTCAATGTGGTATATGGTTCTTTTCATGATGATAAATAAATAGAGATTTGTTTAGCCACTTTTAAATATACCCACATATTTTATATCAACTCACGCATAACGGGAGTGAAAACGAGAGTAAGTGTGAGAATAAGAATACAAAAACAATAAAATATAAGTCACATAATGGGAGGATGAGCAAACACCACCACCCGTTTAATGAAAATTGTAGGGTGTAATGTTTTTGACTTTATATATATATATGTTAAAGTTAAATAAAATTTTATTTACCTGTGGGGCCCACATAAATTATAAGTCAATATAATGACTTAAGAGTCATTACAGACTCATTGTTCTCTTCCTCTCTGCGTATCACTCTCTCTCTCGTCCAGTAGCTCCCTTTTCTTTTCTTTTCTTGTTCTTCAAAGCTTCAAGGCTTGATTTCTCCCTCATTTCTTGGCGGATTAAGGTGCCGTTTGAGGCAAAACGAAGCCCACTACGAGCTCTACGCATCCATATGAACAATTCCAGATTTGGTGCCCTCCTTAGAGTTCAAAATTCAAGACCCATTTTAAGGGTTTTGTGCAAATTTGAGGTAAGGGCTCTTAATTCCTGTTTTTCTTACTCCTATGTGAATTACTCTTTCTAAATTGTCGTAAAGCATGCTTGATTATGAATTAATTGTCTTGTGGATGATATAGATGTTATATGAGAAGTTATAATTAAATAGGCTATGTGAATTGTAGGTGAACGTGTCTATTTGGTTAATTTCTTGTCTAATAGTTGATATAACATGCCTATATTGTTGTAAAATTTGTTAGAAATGATATGTGATGGCATGTGTAATTTTTCCTCAATATTTGTAGAGTATGTTCAAATGTGAAATATAAAATCCCTTAATTCTATGGCAATGTGAAAGTAAGACACACATGCATATCATGGGTCATAATTGGGAAGATTGTTTTGAAATGAAAAAGAGGGATTTTGGGAAAGTGTTTGATGAAAAGTGTTTTATGAAAACCCGGTCGCCGCGAGGGTACCAAAGGGCCGGAGTGTTAATATAGTCTAGAGGGAACTAGGGAGTCGCCCTAGCGTGATTGAGCTAGCTGGGCCGCATAATGATGCCGCGGGGGTACCAAGGGTCAAGAACACTAGCCAATCCTTCTCTCATGTCGCTGTGGGGTCAACAAAGGGCGGGTTATATTAACAGTTTGAAAATGATGATTTTTGAGATGTGAAAATGGGGAGCGACATCGACATGCATTGCATTCCCATTACATTATATTGTTTATATTTGAGTTGATTGTTATGTGATATGACCCCGGTATAGTATGACCCCCATTCCCATTGCTCTGTTCTTTGGTTGAATTCACAAGGATACAAAATGCGTGTCTTAAGTGCTACCTACTGAGCTTATGTTCACCCTGTTATTTAATAATTTTTTTTAGGAAGCGGGAAAGAAGTGGCGGATGACTTTCTACCACAGGCTTAATTTGGATTAGAAGACTTTTTTGCTATTTTTGTATTAAGTCTCATATTTTTGTAAAATCTTAGTTTGTTATATTCGGTATAGAGGTTTGTGAACTCTTGTTATTATAATTATACCTATGGGCTGTAATTTTTGTATGAGCTATCTAAATGTTGTAAAATATGGACATTTGATATTAATCTTGTATGTTGGGACTGTAACTATGTTATCTGGATGATATAGTATGTGGTTGTACCACTATAGAATGAACTAAGTTAAAGCATGATGAATGGATGAAACGGATGCTGGAATGTATTATATGTTTATTATGCTGGGACAGGTTAAAAATGCATTTAAACAGGTTGTGGTAGGACCATTTTTAGGGGGGGTCATGCCGATTTTTTTTTTTTTTGTTAAAATGGTATCAGTTTAGGATCGTTACAAATTTGGTATCAGAGCCATGGTTCGAATACCATTAGGACGACGGGTAAAGGCTTACCTAGGGTTGTCTGGGAAGTCATTTGCATTGTTATTTCCTTATTTGCAAAAGTGTTTTGTTATGTGAAAAAGCATGTTTAACTGCCTACTTGTTTACGTGCTTATGTGCTTATATGCTTATATTAATGTGTTCATTGCATAATATTACATGCTAAATGTTTGTACAGTATTTTTTTTGCGTTGGGTTGTTCGCGGTTAGACCTTAGTGTTATAATATTTGATTTGTTTTCTTTGTTTTATAGAATGATGTCACAACGTGAGGAAACCAAGGAAGTTGGCCCTAAACCGACTAGGGGTGATGTTGGCGAAAGCTCCAGCTCCAATCCAAAGGAGTTAAATGATGAGGACACACTTCTTAGGGACTTGATTCCCCCGAAAGTTGCCCCCACAAGGAGGGATAATGTTAAAGCACCCATAGAAGTGGGTGAAGGTTCTGTGGCACTGGAGTTGAATCGTTTGTTGCAAAATACCGTGAGGGCAACGATTGCTACTCAATCGTAGTCGACACCACAACCTACAGTTCAAGTTGAGGAGACGCCAACTCAGAAGCGTCTCAAGATCATTAAGGGGTTTTCTCAGCTGATGCCGGTTATGTTTGAGGGCGGTGCGGATCCAATAGCAGCAGATGACTACTTGGATCAAGTTGAGACTCAACTAATTTCAATGGATGTGACAGAGGATCATTTGAAGATCATCCTAGCTACTTATAAGTTTGATAAGGATGCCAAACTATGGTGGAAGTTGGTTACGAGCCGGTACAAGGTGGAGGAGATGAGTTGGGACAAGTTCAATGAATTGTTTTATGAAAAGTACTTTCCGCTTTCCAAAAGATGGGAGTTACAAGACCAGTTTCATAACCTTATTCAAGAGAGCATGTTAGTGGCGAAATATGAGAACAAGTTCACTTCACTTTCTCGCTTTGCTCTAGAAATGTTGAAAGATGAAGCTAACAAGACTCAGAAGTTTGTTTCTAGTCTTAATGATCGGATGAGGCCGTTGATCACGGCACAGTTCATTAAGGTTTACTCTGAAGCAGTGGAAAGGGCTTTGATGTTGGAGGCTGATAATAAAGAGAAGGATGCAAGAAGAGAGCAATTAAAGCAAAAGAGAGGCGCAGGGCCATCTTCAGAAAGATCTTCTTAGAAGAGGAATAAGAGTGGTTCATTTCAGTTTCAGGGGCAGCAGTCTGCACGATCCGCTCCTACCACTCCTTTGCCAGCTGGGTCTGATAGGAGTGGAGTCGTTTGTTTTCAGTGCCAGCAGCCCGGACATTACAAGTCCAGATGTCCTATGAACTCGACCATAGTTTCTGCGCCATCGAGAGCTTGTTATGGGTGTGGCCAGCGGGGCCATCTGATCCGGGATTGTCTTACTCGAGGAGAAGGCACTGGTAATGGCAGAGGGTCACAGTAGAGGCCGTCAGAATCGGCTACAGTTCAGTCAGGTTTCAGACCACCGCCACCACCATAGCCTGCCGTGTCTTCTAAGGGTTCACGACCAGTAAGGAGAGATACTCCTACTGTGTCGGCACAACAATCTGGTGTTCAGATTAGTAGTTTACAGGCATAGGCACTGCAGGGACGTGTCTTTGCACTTGCACCGACTGATGCATCTCCTGGATCTTCAGTTCTTCGAGATATATTTCCAGTGTTTGGTTATTGGGCCCGTGTTTTGTTTGACTCTGGTGCTTCTCATTCCTTTATATCATCATCATTAGCACTTGCATCGGGGTTAGAGGTCAGTTTCATGGATCGGGCATTGTATGTTGATACGCCAGTTGGGGTTCAGTGTCTTTGAGCCGAGTTGTGAGGGATTGTTCCATTGTGATAGCTGGACGGACTTTTGTGTTTGACCTTATCCTTCTGGAGATGACTAACTTTGATGTCATTCTCGGGATGGATTGGTTAGCTTCCTTTCATGCCACGATCGAC